TGAGGGGATGCCCATCAATTGGGCATAGCTGAACAAGTTGTGGTATATGACTATGAAAGAACACTATTGTGCTATAAGAAATGACAAGTGCACTGATTTCAGAAAAACCTTAGAAAAACTCACATACAAAGTGAAATGAGCAGAACCAGAAGAACATTGTACACAGTAACAGCAACATTGTGTGATAATTAACTTGTAAATGACTTAGCTCTTCTTATCAGTACACTGATCCAAGACAATTCCAAAGGACTCACGATGGAAAATGCTATCCACCTCCAAAGAAAGAACTGATGGAGTATGAATGCAGATCGAAGCACACTATTTTTCACTCTCTTTATCTTTCATGTTTCTTTCTTCGTGTCTGTATTTTCTTTCACAACATGACTAATATGGAAATATGTTCTGTATGATTGTACATGTATCACCTATATCGAATCGCTTACCATCTCAGGAAGGGAGGAGATGGAAAAGGGAGAAAATTTTAAAATCAAAAAAAAATTATTAAATGAATGTGAAAAATTGTCTTTATATGTAATTGAGGAAAAACAAAATATTTTTTTAAAAAAGAAAGAACAAGAGGACAGCTAGGTGGTGCACTGGATAGAGCACCGGCCCTGAGGTCAGGACGACCTGAGTTCAAATCTGACCTCAGACCAAACTTGACACTTACTAGCTGTGTGACCCTGGGCAAGTCACTCAACCCCGATCGCCGAAAAAAATGCATGGAGTTGGGAGATGTTGTCCAATTTGATTAACAGCAAGGAGATCATGCTAATTGTCCTTTTCTCTGGACTCTGGACACTCAAAGCACCTGCCATTAGATTGCTAGCTTCTTTGGGATAGGGACTATCTCTTGCCTCTTTCTGTATCCCTGGTGCACAGCATTGCAATCAGCTTGGAGTTGAAATAACAAACCTGTGAATGGACTGCATCTGCCCTCATGCATGGCACTCAGGGCTTGTTGACTCAAAAGCCATCAGGAATGAATAACAACACATGACATTCACATTGTGCGTAGAAGTCTGCCAAGCACTTGACATAGATTATCTCATCTAAGCCTTCCAACGTTCTGAGGAGGTTGGCATCACTGATGTCATTCTCCCTAGTTTATGAGAATGAAGAAACAGGCTCAGATATGGTAAATGACCGGCCCAGGTGTCCCACAGCCGGTAAGGGTCAGAGGTAGAGCTGGAGCCCAGGTTCTCCTGACTTCAGGGCCAGTCCTCTACCCACTACACCAAGAGAAGGCCCCATGTCCTTGCCTTGGCCTGTCCAGAGAGATAGCGGGATTATTATTTTTCACACGCCCACTCTGAGAGACAGAAGCATCCCTCTCCATCTGCACCTCGCTTGAGCCTGAGAGAAAAGCAAAGCCCACCAAATTGGCTTTTTCATCTCAGAGCCAACCTAGATGGGCTCGGAAGTCTTGCCAGGACAAGCTGCCAGGTGCAGACAGTAGAAAGGAGAAGCAGGGTCCCGCACTCCAAGAATTCTCTCTTCCGCCTGACTGAGCCAACCTGGGCCATTAACCCAAAGTCAAATGAAAGCCTTAGATAAAGCAAAGGACATGATGGCATTTAGAAAATAAATAAATTTAATGAATTTAGTGCTAGGAATCAGAGGACTTGGGGTCCAGTCCCAACTGGGGCCCCTTAGACCTTTACTCTGGGCCTAAAATGAAAGAAAAATGAAAGCTTTGGCCTGGATGGTCTCTTCTGCCCCTCCTAGCCTAATCCTCTGATTTTATTTCACTGCTAATCTCATTGAGACAGAGTCATAGATCTTGAGCTGGGAGGGACCTTGCAAACCGTCTTATTCAACTCCATTTTATAGACGAAGAAAAGTAGGCCTAGAGAAGTCAAGAGACTTGTCCAAAGTCACAGAGATAGTAGAAGAGCCAGAATTTGAACTCAGGTCCTCTGACTTTCAGTCCAATATCCTTTGTACCATATCGCACTGGTGGAAGGTTTGGCAAGGGGGTGATCATGGTCAACCACTAATGAATAACTCAGAAGGAAACAATGACAGAAATGGATATGAAATGGTGGTTTTCAGAAGAAGAAATCAAATGTATCTATAGTCACATGAAAAAAAAGCTGTAAACCACTATTGATTAGAGAAATGCAAATTAAAACAACTCTGATGTACCACCTCACACTTATCAGATTGGCTAATATGACAGAAAGGGAAAACAACAAATATTGGAGAAGATGTGGGAAAATTGGAACACTATTGCATTGTTGGTGGAGTTGTTAACTGATCCAACCATTCTAAAGAACAATTTGGAACTTTGCCCAAAGGGCTATAAAACTGTGCATACCTTTTGACCAAGCAGCATCACTCTTAGGTCTATATTCAAAGAGACCAAAGAAAAAGGACCTACAGGTACAAAAATATTTTTAGCAGCTCTTTTTTGTGGTGGTTAAGACTTGGAAATTGAGACGATGTCCATCAATTGAGGGATGGCTGAATAAAGTGTGGTGTATGATTGTGATGGAATACTATTGTGCTATAAGAAATGATGAGCAGGTGGACTTCAGAAAAACCTGGAAAGACTTACATGAACTGATGCTGAGTGAACTGAGCAGAATCTGAACATTGTACACAGTAACAGTAACATTGTGTGATGATTAACTATGACAAACTTAGCTCTTCTCAACAATACAACAATCTAAGACAATTCCAATAGATTTATGATAGGGAGTAAAAGTAGTGACTTGCTCGAGCTCTCCCCCAAACGCCTCCAAATACCTGTAAAATGGTTCTAAACAAAAGATTTATGATGAAAAATGCTATCTACCTCCAGAGAAAGAACTATGGAATCTGAATGCAGATCAAAACATATCATTTTTCATTTTATCATCATTGAGTGTTGGTTTGGTGTTTTTTCGGATTTTTTTTTTCAACACAGCTAATATGGAAATATGTTTTGCATGATTTCACATGTACAACTGATATCATATTTCTTGCCTTCACAATGGGTGGGAGATGGGATAGAGGAAGGAAAGAAATGAGAACTCAGTTTAAAAAAATAAATAATAAAATCTTAAAATAATGACAGAATTTTAGAGGTTGAAGGGCCTCCAACAGCTGGTGAGTCCAACCTAAACCTGACAAAGATTCCTCATGGTAGCATTCCCCACAAATGGCCAGCCAGTCTTTACTCCCATTTTAGAAGAACTAAACACAACCGAGGGCCATCATGGAGACATTCTTCACATTTCATGGGGCACTGGTGACCACAAAGTCCCAAATGGTCCAGAATAAGTATCTTTCTTGCCCAATGAATGGCATTTTCCATTTGGTTTTATCTGGCCCCCCACTCAGTAACACATAAACTTAATCAACTTCCACTTTTAATTCCTAGAACAAAGTATGGTGTTAAAGTAATGCCTTTAACCAATAAGGAAAAAATGAAATTCTTACTTATGACTTTGGTTCATGGGTTGCCAAGGATAGATAATAATCAATCACCATGTGGTTGAGTCAATCACTCAGAAAAAAATCTAGCCTAACTATCCACACAAGAAAAACCAAGAGGATGATAAATGCTACTAAACAAACTGTGATATGCACTTTTATGCACAACCTTTAGAGCTTATGTGTTAGTACGTATATCATGGAAAACATGACAAATAAGTAATAAATTGGACCCAGAAAAGATCAGGAATAGAGAAGTCTGGATTTCCTTTGGGAAATTGAATAATGCTCTAAATGACACCAAACTTCTCCCTGGAACAAGGGTCCATCTTTGTAATACCAATATTCTACCAATATTGCTGTAAGACTGCAAGTCATATGACATAGTGGCCTCTAACAAATTAATAATGCGTATCACCCAAAGGGGGTTAAAGCGGGGCATGGTTGGCAGGAGAAGCCTACAACCCATTACAAGCAAGGAACTGTGAAGGAGTGAAAGATGTTATCAAAGGCATTAGGTGACACAGTAGATAAGAGTGTTAAGCTTGGAATCAGGAAGATCTAAGTTCAAATCTATCCTCAGACATCAGCTATGTGTCCTTGGATCAGTTATTTAACCTCTGTTTGCTTCAGTTTCCTCACTTGTAAAATGGGTATAAGAATAGCCCTTACCTCCTAGGGTTGCTATGAGGGTTAAATGAAATAATGTTTGTGAAGTGCTTAGCACAGTGCCTGGTACATAGTGTGAGCTACAAAAAAAAAACCAAAACACTAGCTATTGACTATTATTATCATCAAAGCAATATATAAGTGAAAAAAGAAAAGGTGGTCATGTGATGAGAGTTGGGGGATAGTCAACGGATCGCATATGTATTACACTTGTAATCCAAAAAAGAAAAACTGGAGAAGGCCTCAAGCATGGTACGTGAACTCCCAACTCCCTGTGGTGAACATGGATGAGAGGCATAGAGAATGGGCAGGCATGGATGGTCTGTGATCTGAAACGCCATGATGTCTATTTCTGACTCATCGGACTCTTTCCAATGTCTACCTACTGATGATTCATACAGTAGGTGCTTAATAATTGTTTCCTGATTGATTGATCAAATTCCACTCCCAACCCCCCCACCAAATGAAGACTTGCCCCAGAATGAACAGACCCAGGAGGTGATTCCCAAAGAAAACTCCAGAAGCCTCCTGAGAGGGTGCGGCCCCCCTGGACTGAGTGCAGGGGCTCCCATAGGAGTCAATTATTTTGGAGGGAACAGTATTCCCTGGAATGCTAACAAGGTTCTACTCTGTGCATGAGGACATCTGTTTAGAACACCTCAGACAGTCCTTTCACTGGGGGAATCCCAGGAAGACATTGGTATACACCCCCAATGAAGAAGACAACAGACCAAATAGGACTCCAAACCCTGATCAAGGAGAAGAAGAATAAAAAGTCCCTTTCTGACACGGCCACTCAAGCCTCTTGACTCGGGGCAGCCGTCAAACAGCAAGCTAAGGAAGCACCCCACACACCATTGGTACTTAATAAATGCTTGTTGGGTTGGATGGAGGCCAGGAAGGGGAATTACCTTTACATGCCCCTGCTGCTCCAAGGTGATAAATAGCCGCCAGTACCCTCCAAATGGCCCGCTGCTCACTCGCAGAGATGCTCAGAGTCTCCATGGCCCCTTGGAGGTGTGAGAATGCCGCTGCAGCCTTCTGTTTCTCTTCGGGCTGGCAGGGGCAGAAAGGGAAAGGGAAGGAGTTGGAAACACTTGCAAGCAAGACAACTGCAGGGGAGCCCAGATAGTCATGGGAGGCTCCATCTCATGGAAGAGGTCCAGCTTCTCCCTTCCAATGCAGCTCAAGCTTCTGAAACCCCCTCTCTGCCTCTGATCTCTCCTCTCTCCTATGCCTCCTCCCCACCACTGCCCAAAGGGTCTTTATAAGGCACTACTCCGAGCACGTCCTCAAGAGCTCCAGTGGCCCCCATTGCCTTAGATCCTCCCAGCTCCATCCTCGGGCTCTCTGAATTCCTGGGGTGCCTTCCTGACTCAAATCCCTCCTAGCATCCCTGATTTCCTTGGAAGCGGTGAGGTAGTGCAGTGGAGAGCGCACGGGGCTTAAAGGCAGGAAAACATGAGTTTGAATCTGCCTCAGGCACGTACTAGCCATGTGACCCTGGGCAAGTCAGCTGCCTCAGTTTCCTTATTTGTAAAATGGAGATAATAATCACCCACCTCCCGGTGTGGTTGTGAGGATCAAATAAGATAACGTATCTAAAAATGCTTTGCAAATCTTAAAGCCATATATAAATGCCACGCCTGTTACTTCAAGGCTCACCTTCTAAATAAACCTCCCCCTTCTGCTACTGTGTCTCTTCAAAGTTATGTTGTATCAATTTGATATGCACACACACACACACACACACACACACACACACACACACACTTGTTATCTCCCTGAAATAAATTATAAGCTTCTTGAGAGCAGGGACTGGTTCATGTTTCTCTATATAGTGCCTAGCAAAATGCTTGGCATATAGTAGGCACTTAATGAATGCATGTTGCTTCATTGAGAGACTTTTTTTTTTAAACTGTATAGCCCTGCCATCAAAGGTTCTCCAAAATGAGTCACACTTTACTTTCCCAGCCTTGTCTCAGGCTGCTCCCACTCACATACCTACTGAAGCTCCCAGGCAGGCTAAAGTACTTCTCTTTTCTCTCTCTGCCTTCTCACATCTCTGGGGCCTTGCTCTTGCCACCAGCCATGCCTACAATGCCCCCTCCTCCAGGAAGACTTCCCTAACCTCCCCCTCCCCACCATGAAAGCAATCTTACACTCCTTACATGTTTTCAACACCATCCTGGAGCCTCTGGGTGACCATTGCTCACTCCCACTCCTATCAGACTTATTTGTGTGGTATATGTCTTTAATAAGAAGTAAACACCTTAAAAACAGTCTCAGACTTCTGTCTGAATAAGCCCAAAACCTATCACAGGGTCCAGCAAATAGCACGCATTTAGTAAATGTTGGTGGCATTGAGTGATTGCACCAGGCCCTGGCCCAGATGATCCAAAAATACTTTTTATTTCACTGGGGAGTATGCAAGGTTTGCCCAGGTTAACCATTTCAATTTGATTTCTGTTAATATTAAAATCAGTCTGTATCACTTGGAAATGGAGAAAGTAGGACTGGGAGTGGGGAGGGATGGTGGGGAGGAGGAACCCTGAAGGGGCCTGGGCTGGGACCGCAGTTATGCCACCTGGGTGGCATAAGCTGGGTGGGCTGGAGCAAATAGCTTTACCCTCTGCCTCCATCACCTCTTCTGTAAAATGAGGAGAGGGGTCTAGAAGATCTTCTTCTAAGACTCCAAGCTCTGACATCCCCTGTTCTAAGGCCCCTCCCAGCTCTGACATCCCCTGTTCTAAGGCCCCTCCCAGCTCTGACAGCCCCTGCTCTAAGGCCCCTCCCAGCTCTGACATCCCCTGTTCTAAGGCCCCTCCCAGCTCTGACACTCCCTGTTCTAAGGCCCCTCCCAGCCCTGACATCCCCTGTTCTAAGACCCCTCCCAGCCCTGACATCCCCTGTTCTAAGACCCCTTCCAGCTCTGACATCCCCTGTTCTAAGACCCCTCCCAACTCTGACACTCCCTGTTCTAAGGCCCCTCCCAGCCCTGACATCCCCTGTTCTAAGGCCCCTCCCAGCTCTGAGATCCCTTCTGCTGAGGCCCCTCCCAGCCCTGACATCCCCTATGCTGAGGCCCCTCCCAGCCCTGACATCCCCTGTTCTAAGGTCCAATCCTGCTCTAATGACCTATGAGCATACTGGGAGGAACAGAATCCATCCTCCTGCCAAATTTTCCTCTTCCTTATGCCCTTCACTGAGCCCTGGCCTGAGTCAGGGTATCTGGATCCGCAGCCCTTGAGGCTACTTGTCGTCCCTCTCCCTCACTAATGACACGATGTGACGTTTGGCTCAGACGTCCTCTGTGACTAGACACTGAGGCTGGACAGCAGCAAGTCTCCCAACAGATGAGAGGAGGATGGTCCGAGGCAATAGAGGCGTGGCCAGTGGGGCAGACAGAGTCCGGGCCACTCCAGAGCTGTTTGGCACTGAGGGTACCAGTCCTTCTTCCAGGCAGCTTTTTCCAACCAATGAGAGGCCTTCAGGGACCACCAGCCAACCAGCAAAAGAAAACTCAGACAATGCAATGACCCTGACTGATTCACTGCGGATGCGTTTCAATTAATAGCCAAGGCCTGTGCTGATGATCTATCATTTTCCCAGGACACCTGGGGAACACAAAAACCCCTAGCAACCACGAGCTCAGCCTAGCAACCCCGCTACCCCAGGCTTGTGGGGGAGGGGGGCACTGAGAAGCCTGCTTCCTGCCAACCTGCTCTTGGTTATTTATGAGATTTGGAAACACCAGAGAAAGGACATCGCAAGGACAGAGGCAACAGGATATTGCTTACAGCCCCCATTGTCAGCTGTGAGCATCACACTGAAAATTATGGGCAGACCCCGTCACCAGCCACCTTCCTTCTTCGTGACTTTCTAGGGAAGAAAAATGGAGAAAACTGAAGCAAGCCCCATTTGCTTCTCCTCCCTTCCTTGAGTAGGGGGGAGAGAGGTAGCGGTTGCTGTTGTCCAAATGTTTCAGTCATGTCCAACTCTTCATGACCCCTTTGGAGGTTTTCTTGGCAAAGATACTGGAATGGTTTGCCATTTCCTTCTCTAAATTAATTTACGGATGAGGAAACTGAGGAAAACAGGGTTAAGTGATTTGCCCAGGGTCACACAGCTAAGTGTCTTAGGTCTGATTTGAATTCAGGTCTTTCTGACTCCAGGCCTGGTGCTCTATGCACTATGGCACCACCTAGTTGGTCTGGAGTCAGTGGACCTGGGTTCAAATCCTACATCTGCCACTTAGTACCCATATGACCTTGGATCAATCATTTTGCTTCCTCCTTTGCACAATGTACTAAATGATCTCTAAGGCCCCCTTTAAAAGCTAAGATCCTAGTGGACAGGTCACCGGATTTGGAGAGACCCTGGGTTCAAATCCTGTCTTTGTCATTTACTGTCCATCTGACCTGTTATTAACCTCTCTGGGGATTCCTTCGTTTTCTCCTCTGGACAATAATAGACATGGCCTTTGTGCTGTAGTCCCCCTCAGCCCTAACTCTATGAACCTACCTTCTTGACTTTGGAGTTTCCGAGTTCTTGATAAAACCTCCTCTGAAATTAACTAGGATGTTTTCTGGATATTTAAAATTCATTGAACTTCAGGGCTACTGGGTGGTGCCATGGATAGAGCGCTGGCCCTGGAGTCAGGAGAACCTGAGTTCAAATCCAGCCTCAGACACTTAACATTTACTAGCTGTGTGACCCTAGGCAAGTCACTTAACCCCATTTCCTAGCCAAAAAAAACCATTGAACTTCAAAATGTTTAGGTTGGCCCTTCTTAAGGAATTGCCATCTCCCTCTTTCCCCTCTACCAGGCCCCCAAACCCCAAAGGCATGATGTCAAAGTTTCATGAGTACCATCCAGATGCTCAAGGTCAGCCCACCACTACAAGGGGCTTGTAGAAGGCGCATTTGTGGTTCAAAGACCACACGTGGTTAGAAACCTTACTTATATACTTTCATGCCTAGAGACAGCAAGATAGTAGAGTGGTCTGGAATCAGGATGACCCGAGTTCAAATCTGACCTCAGACACTTAATGGCTGTGTGACCTTGAGCAAGTCACTTAACCTTTGTCTGCCTCAATTTCCTCATCTGTAAAGCGAAAGCAATAATTATGGTCTTACCTGACTTACAGTATTGTTGTGGGGAAAACATTCTGTAAACCTTAAAGCACCAGAAAAAATAGAGTTTTGAAAACATGCAATAAAAATATGTTCTAAAGCTTTCCAGGAATTTTATAGGATTATAGATTTAGCTCCATAAGGAACCCTTAAAGGCCATCTGGTCTAATCACTCTATTTTACAGAGAAGGAAACTGAGTAAAAGAAAGGGAAAAGACTTAATCTAGGTCCCTCACACAAAGAGGAAGCAACAGGGACAGGATTTGAATTCAGGTCTTATTCCAAAGCCAGGGATTTTTCTACTTTATCATTTCCTAGGAACTTCAGATGTAGAGGGGGTCTCAGACATCATCACATCCAGAGGGGTTTCTGTCATGGTCCCCTTTGGCAGTGTCTGAGGAAGCCTGTGGATCCCTTCTCAGCGTCATATAAGGAAATGCCAAGTTTTGGTTAGAAAAAATAGAACTGCAATTTCTTCTGCACCCTAATTCACAGACCCCCTTAAATCTAAGGTTAGAGTAACTCTGCTAGCCTTAAATTGGGAGTCCCTGATCTAATGCAACCCCTTTGTTTTGTAGATGAGGTGACTGAGCAGGGAAGTGATTTATCTATGGTCTAGGAAGGAAACGGCAATGCCAAGATTCAAACCCAGGTCTGTGATTCCAATCTTCTCGGCTCTACACCTAGTTCTCTTTCTATTATAAGTCTCTACCTAAAAGTCCACTGGGGTCCCCCTCAGCCATAAATATAGGAGCCCACATTCTTGTCTTTGGAGTCCCCAAGGAAAAAAGGTCTATTTCCTACTGAAATCAACCGGGATGCTTTCCAGACATTTAAAATCCATCAAACTTCAAAAAGTCTGAGTTGGTCCTTGTTGACAAATTGTCATATTCCCAGTTACCCCCCACCAAAGGCAAAAA